TTAACACACGATCTCTCTCAAATCACAGCAAAATTTTTCTTCTTTCTCTCTCTCTCTCTCTCTCTCTCTCTCTCTCTCTCTCTCTCAGCAAGATTGTAGGAGCAGATTTCTCAGAATTGATCCTTAATATTTTTGCTCTAAAAATTCGTGATAAGTGGTAAAACTTTTGGCCGGTTCACGCCTTACTACTCTGTCATTCTTCTTTTTCTCTTCACTCATTTTTTTAATTTTCGCCATTGTTAGGTTTTGAGGAAGAAACTTCAAATTTCGTCTTTAATGGCTGATTCAACAACTTCGAAGAAGGTTACACTCTATTTTGCTTGGCCGGAAAATGCCATCTCCGGCGAACCTACTTCTCTTCTTTGCTATTTTAGTCACATACAATGATACAAATACAATGTATTCTATGCAAATACACTAAATATATTATATTTTTGTATAAATACATTATTTTTCGCATGTATTTATGTATTCTAAAGGTCTGTATTTTTTTAATACAGTCGAATATCACTGTGTTTTGTGATTTTTTGTTGTTTGAATACAGTCAAACTGAATAAGGTTAATTAAAAACAATGCATAATAATGAATAATGAATATCTGTGAATTGAATACAATGTATACAGTCGAATTAAATATAACGGTATACACCCTATTTTTTTATTACCTCACTGTATTTATAAATACAATCGTGCGAATACATAGAATATAACATAGTAGCAGCGAATTATATGTAGAATTGATTTTGTTGAGTTAAATTAGGAGTGATACACGCTAATTGATCCTCTTTCCGTTATTAAACAACTGGACTCCCCTATTTTCTAGGCGAATTCCGCTACTGTATTCATGAATACAGTAGCGCGAATACAACGAATACAGTCGCATACAACTGGACTCCCCTATTTTTTAGGCGATTTCCCTTTCTGTATTCATGAATATAATAGCGCGAATACAGTGAATACAGTCGCATAATAACTGAATAGTAGCTATATGAAGTAATTATGTATATGGTAGCTATAGGAAGTTAATAGCCACTAAACAATAATAATTTCTGAAAATTTCTCTTATTTATATTCACTTTACAGCACAATTAAAATATAAATAAAGGCATATAATGCTGCATTTCTCAAAGATCATCTTATATTACATAAAAAATGATTACACAAAATAAATTTCGCAAATAAAAAATTAATTGGCCAACAATTACATTCTTTATTTGCATATTACATAAAGAAGGTTCAAGAGATTCAACTTTATTCTCTACAAGGTGTTGAGTTTAACAAGAAGATTTAAATTAGTATTCTTTTAACAATATGTGTAAGACATGAAAGAAGACTAAAACAAGAAAGAGAATAAATCACTTCAGAGAAAACAAAAGAGGGAGAAATCTTTTCAAAGGAAACCATACGGAGAACTGAAGAAGAAAAAATAAAGAAGAAAAGTGAAAAAATAAGGAAGAATAGTGAAAAATGAGGATGAAAGGTGGATATAACTAAAATAAAGAGAATATTTATTAAAATAAATAAATTTGAAAGAGGTTAGGCTAACTAGCCATTATATTCTGTCAGGTGAGATATTTTGATGGCTTTTTTCAGCTGCCACGCGCTTCCATGCGAGTATGTACACACCTTATGACATGTCAGCAACAAAGAGGTTTTAATATGAAGGACAATATAGTTCAGGGGCGTTTTGAGAACATCAAATAGTTTAAGTAGGAAATTGACAATAGTATGATAGTTTAAGGAGAGTTTAGGGTATTAACTATAAAATCGCTTCCTACTTAAAAAAAAGATAATAGAGATAATCTTGTTTTCCTATTACACTATGCATGTTTCCATATTTCCAGGCATTATTTCTTATTCATTTAAAAGTTCTTCAAGGAATTTATTCAATTACAAGATTAAGCTTATGGCATTTTTCTTAAACACGGATTTAGCATATGGGCTATACATGCAAATTAAGAAGAGAAAATTTCAGAAACCACTATGTTTTAGTGGTTATTAGCTAGTTATAGCTACCATTTACTATATTACTTCCTATAGCTATGTTTTCAGATTTTTTAGAGTGTATTCGATGTATTTAAGCTACTGTATTCATGAATACAATAGCATTTCTAGGCGTGAAACAGGGGATTACAGCTAGACAGAATTTTGTATTCGACTGTATCTGATAATAGGCTAGATTCATGTAATTTGGCGACTGTTTATGCCCCAGCTTGACTATGTTTCACTATTATAAGATAGTTAAATGATGATAAATTGGCTCTAATTGTGAATTTCATGTTTTGCAAGAGTGAGTGGCATGTATGAGGACTTAGAACTATAATTGAAGCTAAATTGAAGCAAGGGAAGCCCCTAGGAGCTGAGTACGTGGGAAGACGAGAGAAAGAAGAGCTGAAATGATGACCCAGAAATTCAAGGCAGAATGGTAGCCCAGGAATTCGAGGCGGAATGGTAGGCCATATGCGCGGTCATTAGTGCCACCGCGCTAGCCCAGTTTCGAAAAAATAAAGTTCAGGGGTAAACTTGGAAGTTCGGGGGTAAATCCACTTAACCTATAGAAGGTCCAGCTCGCCCAAGGGATTATAATCAAGGTTTTCATAGCTTAGTTGAAGGCAAGGAGAGGCAAGAGGCAAGGAGGATAATTCAACATCGAGTTCTTCCTTTCTTCCTTTTGTGTTTTACTATTTGTGATAAATTTGACTATTGTTATGATGAACACTAGTATGAGTAGCTAAATATTTAGTATAAGGTTTTGATGGAACCTATTGAAGGATGAACTTCTTGTGATGTTTATATAGTTTGCCTAGTTTAATCTCTATTTGTTAAACTACGTTCTTGTTGTGGTTAATTGATAGGATCCTCAATTAGCTGTGCCTATTTAGTGTGCATAACTCGGGAGAGAGTGCATATTTAGGTAATTGTTGAACAACACCACTCCCAAAGTATATGAGAGATCAATAACCGAGGGTTTAAAGGCGGGATTAGGGATAACGAAGCCTTGGGTACAATCTAAAGTGAGTTGTAATAAACAAAGCCAGCTAGCATAACTCAGGAGAGTGCGTCTAGTAAATTGTCGTGATTACTCGGGAGAGATTTACGGTGATAAGAGTGCTCATGATTGATAGAGACGATTAGGTGAATCTATTGAAACACAACCAGAAGGGATTCCATCAATAGGGGGAATCATAACTTTAGATCTTTCTCTTAATTGTTTACAACTTAAGCATAGTTAGTCTTCAGTTGCTTATTTTCAGTCAGTCTTAGTTAGTAGAAACATCCTCAATTGTTATTCACAACGTTTGGGAAGTTGATTACGTAGAATTTCGTAAGTCTAATGAGAGTAATTGATAGGTTAATTCCTTGTGGGTTCGACTCTGGGCGAAATACTCAGATTATATTTGCAACGTCCGCGTGTCCTTTTTATAAGGCATAGTTGGGCGTGATCAGTATTCGACTGTATTCAAGGAGTGAAACAGGGGATTACAACTGTTTTTAAATGGAAAGTGAATCAATTAACATAATAGACTCCTAATATAACTCAACAAACTCAATTATAACACAAAAATTTTGTATTTCCAGTTATAAAAAAGATTCTCAACCGAAAAATACCCCAAAAACATAGCAATCTGCAGAGAGATTATATAATTACATTGAACATAGTTAAATACATAAAAATACATTGAATACATGAAGTATAGCAGGTCATCTATAGTGCAAAAACATATGAATACATACTGCAGATACATTTGAATACATATATACATTTGAATAAATAAATTATATTAATTAAAAGAATTATATGAATACATTCATTCATGGAATATAGCGAGCAGTGAATATAATGAAATACATCGAATACAACGAGATACAATGAAATACAATGAAAAAAAGACAATGAATACAATGAAATACATCAAGATACATTGAAATACACTTAAAAAAAAAAAGTAACAGAATCTTTAAGTTGCTCAGCCCCAAACTCCACCGTCATTGTTCAAGAACAACCCTAATGTCGTCTCGTCGAGTTGCATCCCTAACCAAACATCTTTTCCAGCACAAATATTGTTTCATCGTCTTCAAATAACCAAAGCCAAAACTAAATAAAACTTGATTCCAATGTTTGGTAGTAACCTAATTTCCGCCGTCAAAACCAACGAATGCCAAACCAAACTTCGCCCTTTTTCCTTTTCTTTTAGTAACAAATAATTAGCAGCATCATGATTCATGAGGAAACAGAATCAATAAGGTAAGCAAATAGAAATTCAACTTTGGCACTGCAAACATGATGTCCTCAAAATCGCCAAATTCAACAGGAACTACCATTGACGGAGGAACTGATAAGAGAGAATCCATAAATTTGTATTCATGAAGAAAACTGGCGTTGAGAGAGACGGTGGAGAAAAATCTGAAAAAATAAAAAAAAAATAATACAAAGCGTATTTTATGACTTAATGGTAGGAGGTGACCATAAACAGAATTTTGGCTATAAAAATCAAAAGGTAGCTATGGAATATAATTTTTTTTAAATGATATTTATTTAAAATAAATAAAATATCAACCTTTGCTACATGAGGTGAAAATTCCAATTAAGAATCCATAAAGTAAGTATAACAAGATTTTTAAGGTTATTTATAAGGTTCATCTGGTACAACAACAATAACACATCCAATACCATCCCATATCGTAAGGTATGGATAAGGTTCATCTAGTCTAGAATAAAATGTTCTGTCTTATTTCATTTTTTTGTCAAACTTCCATTTCTTAAGCTCTCTTGCTTCTTCTTCTTCTTCTTTTTAAAAAAAAAAAAGAAAGAAATTAGAGCATTGTTCCTATTCGTAATGTACGATTTCCTTCAAGATTTTTTCCCCTTTTTTCTTTTTGTGGGATAAGAGTATTCTAATAGTAGTATCTTTTTAAACTCTCCATAAAATCAGTTTGATAGAAGTATAGAACCGACTCTTCTCCTCTTTCTTATTGACCGTGCAAAGCAAGTAAATAAAAATACAAAAAAAAAAGTAAGAAACTAAACTTCATATCTTGTAACCTCCCCCTAATTTAACTCTAATTATTCAAAAACAAAATCCTGGGTCGGTTACAAATTGTGTAGCCACCAAGTAAACCATCACTACATATATAGTACTCCAAAACAAAATTTCAAATCAAAATAGTTCTCACTTCACTGTGCATGGCCCTAATGTCACTTCATCATAATCACATTAATTCCTCCTTCAACCTTAGTATCAATCACCTCAACCTTAGTATCAATAATGGCTCCTTCTCCACTAACAAAAATGACGCCTCAGTACCAAACAAATTGGGATTGTGCGTGCGCATACCAAACAGGTTGGAAATGCTCATGTGCATGGGAATGCGCACGCGAATGCCAAACAAGCGCATGTGAATCTTCACCACAACAAAAACCAATATTACAACAACAACAACCCAGTGGAATCCCACAACAACAAAAACCAATATTATTTCCTCCAATGGGTTTCACAGAAAATGGTTCAGCAACTTTTCTATCTACTGGAAACCCATGTTTAGATTTCTTCTTCCACATTGTCCCCAACACCCCACCTCAAGAATTATTGAAAAGATTGGAACTTTCTTGGAAACGTGATGCTTTGACAACCCTTAAGCTTATTTGCAATTTAAGGGGTGTTAGAGGCACTGGAAAATCAGACAAAGAAGGGTTTTATACTGCTTCTTTATGGCTTCACAATTACCATCCTAAAACCCTAGCATGCAATATTAAAGCCATTGCCGATTTCGGGTATTTTAAGGATGTGTTGGAGATTTTGTATAGAATTCTTGAGGGTCATGAAATTAGAAAGAATGAAAAAGCAGAGTGGATGGAAAAGAAAAGAAATGGTTTTTTGGAGGGTTTAAAGGAGAAAAAAGATAGGGTTCCTAAGGGAAAGGCCCAAAAAATTCGACTGAAAAAGACTATGGCTAAAGCAAAGAAATTATTGGACAGATGCACACAAGATTCTGATTTTGAAGTCTTGTATGATAAAGTCTCTGGTTTCTTTGCTGATGCTTTGAGGGAAGACATGGAGTTGTACAATGAGGGGAAGCTTTATGAGCTTAGCCTCGCGGCTAAATGGTGTCCATCTCTTGATTCATCATATGATAAGTCATTGCTAATGTGTGGAAGTGTTGGAAGAAAATTATTCCCTCGTGACTACGCTGAATACCAAGATCTTGAAGACGCGCATTATGCTTATCACGTGAGGGATAGATTGAGGAAAGAAGTACTCGTGCCACTCCACAAGGCGTTGGAGATTCCAGAGGTTTATATTTGTGCGAATAAGTGGGAAGAGCTTCCTTATAAACGCGTACCCTCTGTGGCCATGAAATTGTACAAGAATTTGTTCTACAAGCACGATCAAGAACGATTTCAGCAGTATCTTGAAGATGTGAAGAGTGGGAAAACAACAATAGCTGCTGGTGCCCTGCTTCCACATGAGATAATTGCCTCGTTGAAAGATTCCACAGGACCGGAAGTTGCAGAGCTTCAATGGAAAAGAATGGTTGATGACTTAGCCAAGAAGGGCAAATTAACAAATTGTATGGCAATTTGTGATGTCTCAGGAAGCATGAATGGAACCCCAATGGAGGTTTGTGTGGCTTTGGGGCTACTTATTTCTGAACTTAGTGAAGAACCTTGGAAAGGAAAATTAATCACATTTAGTAGTAATCCAGAATTACATAAGGTGAAAGGGAAAAATTTGTCAGCGAGGACAAATTTTATTAGGAGAATGGACTGGGGTGGTAATACAGATTTTCAGAAAGTATTTGATAAGATTCTTGAAGTTGCTGTGAGGGGGAATTTGAGCGAGGATGCGATGATAAAGAGGCTATTTGTTTTCAGTGACATGGAATTTGATCAGGCTTCAAGAAGTCCATGGGAAACAGATTATCTAGTGATACAGAGGAAGTTTAAGGAAAAAGGTTATAACAAGGTGCCTGAAATTGTGTTTTGGAATTTGAGGAATTCAAAGGCAACACCAGTTCCTAGTAACCAAAAAGGAGTGGCACTTGTGAGTGGATTTTCAAAGAATCTTGTGACTTTGTTCTTGGAGGAAGGTGGGATTTTAAGCCCAGAAGCAGTGATGATGCAAGCTATTTCTGGTGAAGAGTATCAAAAACTTGTAGTGTTTGATTGACTTGTAAAAGAATAAAGATTGTTGAAATTGTGATAAGATTGTGCTCTTCAATTTCTATCTATTAATGAGAAATTCTGAGTTCCTCTTTGTATTTGTGTTCATCTTCATGTAGTTCGTTTATTTACCTTTGACTAATCTTTTTCAGCAAGATTTTCTGTTCCATATAATTGTGTTACTGTTACATTAGCTTCTATATTTAAACCCCTTACTACTGACACAACATACAGATTAGAAAAAAATGAGCTTTATTAAAGAGTAAATCGCATTAAAACAATAATATTCTTACAATGCAAATTGGTAAAACATTACTTGCAGTTGATTAGTTCTGTTACAGGAGCAATTATTATAGCCACAGCTGAACCTGGTCTTATAGCTCGAGTAGACAATTTTCATGCATTCTATTAAACTAAGAATGTCAGCCAATTGAAACATACAAAGATGTACAAACCTAATTCTCAAGCTCAATAATCTTCACCACAGATGAGTCACCAACTTTCTGGAAAACAACAACTCGGTCATGCGGCTTTATAACACCTGCTGTTTTCCCATGGTCCAGTGCAACCTTCAATACTGACTCATCGGTTGCATTTGTGGACTCGGCCTGAAGAAGGAAAGGACAAAGTCAATATTCTGGCCAACATACCGAATATTCTAACAAGAAGAAAGAGGGTTACAATAACTATGAAGTTAAGAAGGTCAGAAGGAAGATTATGCACTTCTCAAAGTTCTTTCACTCTTGTGAACTTTTCCCTTTCTTGATTATATATAAGTTGACTATATATTACACTTTTTATCTTATATGCTTATCAACTTCTTTATACATTATCTTTCCTCCTGTTATACTTTTTCTCAGCATGAGTAAACTTTCATTCACCTTTTTTCCTTTCTTTTATTCTTTTATTCTTTTATTATTTTTAGCCTTTTAATTGACCGTTCTGGTAGCTTCACCCTTATATCCGGTGACTGATCTAGTCATACTATGCTTTTTCCTAAGGACCGTTCTGATGGCACCACTTTTTTCTAGCCTTTTTCAATCAATATTCAAGTCATTGTTCCATCAATCAAGTGTTTGTTAGCGCGTGAAATGCTCACGTATTCCACAGTTCTCAAATGAAGTCCATGCAGACTTAGCAAAACAGAAAACAGAATGGAAGAGAAAGATCCATGTGGGCAATATATACTACCTAGCTGAGATTAAGTCTTACCAATGTTGTTGCATATACATTAGGTGTAATGTTTATTAGGAGTCTTTTTAATCTTGTTAAAGATTTGTATATCAATAAAAAATATAGAGAATTTCAAGTGTTAAAGAGCCTAAATTATTCAATACTGGAATGAAACGGGTCAACATCGAGCGAAATATATAGTAAGGATTCATAGCCGATCCCAATTAGCTTGAATGATATGTAGTTGTTGTATTCTCTTACCTTTAATATTTTGCTCACAAGCTCACATAATAATACAGAAAAACTAAAGCATGATGAGGTCAAGTGACATTGTTAATCACACACTTCACAATTTCATGTTGGTTAGCGCATCTTTTACAGAATACAGTCCTGCAGTAGATGTAGAAAGAAACCACTTCTTTAGGGAGGAACAAAAGAAAAAAATCATACCGGATGTCTTGGATCTGCAAGGATGGGGAAAAGCCCTCTGACAATAAGAGACTGCCTAGCCTGTCATTTAAGTCATCAATGCAATAGCCAAACAAAATCAGTTTCATTTTATATTTGCCAATGATAATATCATCAATAATAATATGAACTAAAGAATGAAAAATGAAAAATAAAGCATCAGAAGAAGAGCTTTATTGGCATTCTGATGCTTTATTGGCATTGCAAGAAACCTTTTCTTACACTAAGTGTCAATCTGTGTGATTAAGAAATCGAAGAGAAAAGTTTGCGGTCTAGCAGGATTCCGATACTTGCTTCACATCAGAATTAGTGGGCATCTGTTTGAAACAGAATTTTTGCAAAAGAACAAAAAGTTCTTAACACTGAGTTTCAATTTTTTCAAGCAAACACCACCTTAGCATATGACACATTCATAGGAGGTAGAATGAATCAGATCCATCCTAATATGGATGTCATTATTGAACCATCTGGGAGAAGAATAACATATCATCGATGAGTGAAAACAGACGCACCATATTTTGTTAGCTACAAATCCATATAGCAGGAGCTTGACTTGTTATATATATAGGTATAAGATGCACCTTAATTAACTTCAATTTGGTTGGGTAACATATGAGAAACTATTAACATACATATAAGTTGAAAAATACCTAAAAAAGAAAGTCCTTTACGAAACATTGATTACCTGAAATGCACCACTGAACGTCCACTGAAGCTGGTTCGTCTTGAGACGAGGGATGACAACAGACAATACTGGCATCGGTGGCCTATACTTAGCTATCAATCTGCATTATCAGTAAAAGGTTATAAATTAAATTTCTTGCACCATACAAAGTGGCATGCTTTTGCTGGCTTGTGGTTAAAGAGGCTGTTCTAACACACGACAGTCTGATGAAGAGAGGGGTACAATTGTGTTCTAAATGTTTTTTGTGTGGGAGTGAGATGGAAACAAATAGTCTTCTGATTATCCATTGCAGAGTTACCAGTACTCTGTGGCAAGGCTTTATGAGTGTGAAAGGACTCAGATGGACAATGCCTAGGAAAACTGCCGAGTTGTTAGCATGCTGATTCAGACAACTTTGTGAGACAGAAAAGATGGTGGAGAATTATCCCAGCATGCATCTGGTGGACAGTATGGAGGGAAAGAAATTCAAGGTGTTTTGAAGATGTACTTTACTCTGAACAGAAGATCAAGATGAATTGTATATTTTTGTTTCAATTTTGGTGTGAAGAGGCCCTAGTAGAAGATGTAGATTATTGACATCATTGGAGCATTGTAACTAGTACAGGACTAGGTTTTTGCTTTTCGGGTTTCCTGTATTTTGTTCCTCTCACCACAGTCTTCGTGCTAAGGTTTACTCCTTTGAAAATTTATATAAAACCTGTTACCTTCTTCAAAAAAAAGCTGTGATGGCATTCTCTGGTGAGAAGGCCTGGTAGAGATGTCTTTGACAGGAAAAAAACAATTTGCATCAAAGCATAGCAAATATGATGAGAGAGAGAGAGGGGGGGGAGAGACCTCGCAGCTCTCCCTGAAGAAGTGAAGCAGATAATAACAGACGCCTTGACCTTGATGGCAGCACGTACCTGAATCAAACAAAAGCCGTGCAGACAGTACATGTCAATACCAGAGGCTTAACGTCTATGGCATTGTTTCCCTCCAACCTGACGAAAAAGCTTAACATGAGCAGCAGAAACAACATACCGCAGAGGAAGCAATAGATTCCAAGTGAGTCATTGGTTCTCCGACATACTTAACAGCCCTCTTAAAATAGACATCTTGATTATAAACCTTTTCTGCCTGGAAAAAGGAACTAACATGAGCAGCAAATTTACAAGAAAATCTCAGAATTATCATCTGACTACATTGGAAACAACAAGACACCGCTCTTGGAGGGCACAGAGTGCATTTTAAGGCAAATATGAAATGAAAAGATAAGATTATGCCACAATGTCAGCCTTAACACTGATTGGTTATGTGTATTTGTTCCTCTCCTGTGCCATTTTGGCTTAAATACAAACTCGACTAGAAAAACGTACTGGCTCAACCAGCAAACCATTAACCAGACTCACAACCTATAGTTAGTTCATTCACCCCCCCCCACCCGCCGCGACAAAATGTGGTAGAAATACACTCGAACCATGGTTCCGAGTTTGGAAATTGAGCTTCTTTCAGTATTTCTCTTCTTTGGAAAGTGAAATTCATCACTGAAGAGGTCCTTAAAAGACAATTAGATGGTGAATATAAGTCCTGTTAAATACATTTCCTAATTCATAATTTCTTCCATAGCTGCACGCCTAATTCACATCATGACAGCAACTGATCCCAACACTTGCAGGAGCAAGGGCTATTTAAGATTACTTACTGGTTATATGGCCCATGTTTATACTGGAAAAATAGATGTGCATGTGAACCTATCCATGTACTTTGATGTTAAGTCTTTTCCGCTTATGAACTGAAACCCTATCAAACATCTGGAACTTTCGCTGTGCATGATCAAAGTGATTTTGGCGCACGCAATATCACTTTAGGGGGAAATGCTTTAGAATATTAATCCAACCTTCAGAAGGAATATAACTTTAACCATTCCACCATGAATAAAGAATAAACATTGAATTCAACATAATTGTGCTTGCTGTGAGGTAAGACCAAGATCAAGTCAACATAGCTTTTACTTTTTATGGCATCAATACAGCCGGAAAGATACAGTGGTCTATTAACTGCTATTTCTGATATTAGATGTACTTTGCACTCCATAAATATCACTTGTTAAATCTTACCAAAAATGTGAGATCAAGTCAGAAGATTTCAGTACAAATTGTACTCCAAAGGTCGATCAAGGTGTCCATTGACAATTAAAATATTCACAATAGTAGAATAAGCCATGTGTAGAACAGCAACGAGGTAATACGTACCTCTGCACAAATTTTACCAACAATGGAAATAGTCTCAACAGGATATAGGCCTCTCAAGGTCTCTGCACCTAGAAGAATTGCATCACTACCTGGGATGAAAAAAATATGATAAGAAGCATCTCACATACGAGGTCAAAAGGGCACGTTTATACCTACCACAAGTATTTAGTATATATTCAATGTTGTTCACATAGGAATCTAGCATATCAAATTAATGTGATAATAGACTTGTCAAAGACAGAAGCTACCATCCAATACAGCGTTGGCAACATCTGTTGCCTCAGCACGAGTGGGTCGCAAGTTATCAGTCATACTGTCCACAACACGAGTGACCACAGCAGGCTTCCCAGCCATATTGCACTTGTGCACAGCTGCCTTTTGAAATAGGAAGACCTGGTAATTAATAGAATCTGGTTAGAATAAAGGAGTCCATACTATGATAACTGCAAAAGTGTCATACTCAGTGGAAAGGGCAGCATCAGACAATCTAATGAAACAAAGAAAAATGCAACACTAGACCCATCAGGCACTATTCGATTGCACGTAATTATTCAAAATATATCGTGAGCCCAC